GCGAGGTTACGGTGGTATGGACATATCATGAGGAGGGACGTTGAGGAAGTAACAAAGAGGGTAATGGAATTTAAGGTGGAAGGTAACAGAGGAAGAGGCAGGCCTAGAAAGAGATGGATAGATTGTGTGAGAAAAGATATGGAGGTATGTGAAGTGAGTGAGGAAGATGTGCTCGACAGAGACAAATGGAGAAGAGCAACCAAAGCAGCTGACCCCAGGACAGTCTGGGACTAAGGCTGTGAAAAAGAAGAAGAAGAAGAAGAAGATTTGAATGTGACCTGACTTCGCATTGCTTCCACCTACTCAGCCCTTTATCTAAATAACACGTTTCTCTTGCAGCTTCCACCACCCCTCTCAAGAATTTGTTCTCTGCAGTTCTTGACACTTAATTTCTTTCAACTTCAAAATTGTTCAGTTTGAGCATTCAAGTTCTGATTAAACTATTCCTTTCAAAAACATGATTACACATTTAATCAAACCAAAGAGGATATCATTGGAAGTTGGAGTGTTTTGAGCAACACTGTATTTTTTCCAATATATTGTTCTTAATGGCATTGAATAACATTCTTATACATACACTTTAACTTGTTGCATTTGGCACTAGGTTATTTTTTATTTTTTATTCTGTTTTAAAAAATAATCCACTTTCTAATTTCACTGTACATCTGCAATGTAAGTAACAATTATATAAAGACCCTTATTCAAGCCAGAAACATTTTCAATGTCACAATATATCAATATCAGCTGCATTCAGCCCAATTCTAAACTTGCAAGCATCATCTTGACATTGTGTGTGGAGTCCTAATGTGTACTGTGTGTGGTTATTATATCTGCTTCTGCAAATTTTGGTTGAAACTGAATTTAAACTATTAATGCGTTCAATAGTGGTTGCTTGTTCTCTCACTTACTAAACAGCCTAGTGTGATTTTTTCTTTAGCCAATCACATCACTCAGTCAGTTTTCCCCACCTATATTCTATCTTACTTGACACTGATTTTGCAGTGAGATCCTTTATTCCAGTTCATTACACTGAACTGAACATTACATTGTTCAGAAGGCAAACTGTTGTGAACATAGAACAACTATGAAAATGATTGGACTATGTGTGACTCTCATGCTCTTCAATGTAAGTGTAAGTAAAAACCTGCTTTATTAAGATAGATCACATTCTTTACATATATAGTACATTGTCAAGTATTGTTGAATATGTGAAATTATTTTGTTTATTGAAATGTATATTAATAAGCATCAAATTCATTTTTTTCTTCATGTATAAAAATATTTTCCATCATCAGTTTTCATTTTAGAGACAGAAGATACTAAATTCTAACAAGGAGCATACAGAATATTACATTATATAAATTTTGATTCCTTATCTTTGGACTTGCATCCCTAATATCTCTATTTAATTTTCTAATTTCAGATGTAACTGTGAGTGAGGAAGTTTCTCAAACCCATGGCTTACTGCCAAAAGAACCTGGGAACAATGTAACCCTGCGTTGTTTCTTTCAAGAAGAGAAAACTGTTCATGTGTTTTGGTTTAAGCAGCACACTGTACATAAGCCACAATGCATAGCAATGTCTCTTTCACAATCAAAATTGACCAAGCTTTGTGATGAGTTTAAAGACAATCCACGCTTCAGGGCAGAGAAAGCTAAAGGGCGATTCCATCTCACTATATCAAGCACACAGCCCTCAGATACAACAACGTATTACTGTGCTGCAATAAAAAAAAACAGCCCTGTACATTTTGGAAATGGAACCTTTTTGAAAATACATGATCAATTTAAAAAATGGTTTGTATTTAACAAGAGCTAAATGTTTACTAATTGTAAAAAAATGAAAAGAAATTCAAACTGTTCAGGTACTATCTGCCTAGTATGATTGCAGTTTGATGATGTAGGTGCTAGTACACTGTTGAGGACAGTGATTTTAAACCAAAGTGGATTTTGTAATGACACTAGTGCTGCAAATTTAGGTCCAGCCAAACACTTCTAAATTTAGCAAGAACTCAAAACAATTTAGCAATTATTTTCTTCTCCAAATAACTCGCCAAATTATATTTGCCAAATGAATATTTTCTCTATATTATTAGATCTCGTTAGTTTGATATCTAATATCTAATACCAGGATTAAATTGTACTTTTAAGGATTAAGAAAAAATGTCTCTTGCAGATGAACTACTGACAAATGCAGGGGTAAACAGACAAAACAAATGCTGAAAAGCAAGAGAGATTTATATATATAAAAAAAAACAAGCAAAATATCACTAGAACAAATAAAAGCAATTGGGAGTGTAACAATCATTTATTCAATTTTGACAATTAATATTGCAATTGTACCCAGTTATTTAGCAGAGATTTTTCATAGTCTGAGTTATGTCCATGTATATAATGAAAATAATATGTTATATTATATATAATAATATCCAGGGTGTATCCTCCTTAGCACCTGTTACTTGCTGGGTTAATTTTTGACACCACCACAAGCAGTTTGAAAATGGATGGATGTTCTTTCATTGGATGGATTGCACTGTTAACTTTCTTATTATTACTTCAGATATAGTCTATAAGCTGGAGTGTTGTACAACAGTTTGTGTCCATCCCAGTCCAGCCTAGAGATAATGTGACTTTTCAGTGTACAATGTACACTGACATCTGTCCAGCGCAGCATGATATCCATTGGTTCAGAAATGTCTTAGGAGAATCCTTTCCAAAAATAATTAACACCAATGGAAGCAAGAGTGATCAGTGTGAAAAGAGCTCTGTGGCTGGGATTCCTACACAAAGCTGTGTCTATAACCTCACCAAGAAGAACCTTAGCCATTCTGATTCTGGAACTTATTACTGTGCTGTGGCTTCATGTGGTGGAATATTGTTTGGAAATGGGACACTGCTGGAAATTACAGGTAAGTTTTGATGAAAAACATCATCTATTTTTCAAGACATTTATGTTGCTGACTCTCAGCTCAAATCTTAGCATCCTTCTTAGTATCGACTTATTGCGTAGTAAAATGATCTCTAACCCTAGCCCATGAAGAATCAGTAGTACAGGTCTGGGAGATACGTGCACTAGGAGATACATTACATGTTCCACATCTCTTCTGAGACCTATTGACACACCTCATCTAATGGTGCAGTTTCCAGCTATAAACACTACTTTACTACACTGTAAAGACTACAGAGAATTCTCATATTATTATATTATATATTATATTATCTCACATGATCTCTTTTCAACTTCTCAAACTTGAACTGGACATAGGACAGCTGGCTGGGTGTTGATACTAAAGCACAGTAGTTAAACACTCCTATGTTCAAAACTTTCCACAAATCAGACCATTGACACTTTCCCTTCCTGAACTGCAGGAGCTTAGACACAGCTCCCTGCATTCTGCACCTGTTTACTATTACAGTGATCGCTGCTACTCCTAAGGAATGTCCCAATTAAGCACAGGGCCAATCAGTTATTCCTTTGTCTGCTGGTGGAATTCCATTCACTCCAATCAGTCAATTAAGACAGGTTTGTCCAATGTACTTCAGAGAAGGAAGAGGCTTTAAACCTCAGCTTGCTCCATCATATACAGTATATAGTCAGCAATAAAATTAAGGGAATTTATTTACTAATGTATTAAGATAATTGAGTATTAATACAAGCTGTATTAAGAATTTTCAATAAGGGAAATTCAAAACGTGCCTCTTTTCCACCATGTAAAAGGATGTTTTAAAGAGCAATGAACATGATTAATATCTTAACCCTTTATTTTGAATGTTTGGTACTATTTGTAATATGAAAGAAAAGATCATAATGTGTTACTTTTATAGTACTTTAATGTAGTTATTTCTATATAATTTTCTATGCTCGTTAGTACCAGGATATTAATACAGAAATAAGAGTGTGAATGTGTTAGCTGATATAATATAGTACTCTTTATCCTTTGTAGTTGCATCTTATCACATTTATTATTTTTTCTAATATTACTAAATGGAATGAAGGTGGCTTTAGGTCTAAACTAGATAGAAATACTGTAGTTCTGTGTGCATGGTTGAAAAAAAATCAACATGTAGTATTTTAGAAAATTCTCAATGTCTGTGTGTAATGTGTACAATCTGCATTTAAAATAGTATTTCAAAATTTTCTGTTATATATATATATGAAATTAAATTATTTTTATTTTTTTTTTAGAATCCACTATCGCTACTACTTCTCCCTCTGTCTGTATTCTGGATCCCCTTGTTCTTGGCATGCTGGTGTCTATTGCTCTGTGTGTGATAGTGATCACTGTTCTTGTCTGTGGAAGATGGAAGAGGAAATGTGAACACTGTGCAGGTCTGGGATTTTACAGCCTTATCATCATTGCAACAACATATAAAAATAATTGTGTTGCTAGTTATATCCACAGAAAGGTTTCCTAATATGCTCATATATGATATTCATACAGTACCTGTATAAATATTGTGTGTAAATATCACACAATCTGATGATCGTCACAATCAGCACTAATAATAAACTCACAATCATTGATTACTAACAACATCATCACCATCTTGATATTTTAAATTGCCTACTTGTTTTGAATGATAATAATAAGCAATTCAGAAAGAGTAATGACAGATAATCAGAAAAAATTGTGAAAATGTTTTAAAAAAGTTAGGCATAAGGGTTTTGGCTGAGTTCTGAAGACCTCACCATAGAATGAGAAATTTAGGGCCCAATGTAGAGTAATATTAATGAAGTGCCTGCTGCTAAGGTAGAGATGTGTTGAAAGAAGCATGCAAAAGAAAAGCAGATGTGAGGTAGAGGGGAGCTTAATGTGATTATTTAATAGCACTTCAAAAAAGTAAAATGGAGGATTCAAATTTTCCATTTTCAATTATGAATTTGATAGTTCTCATTCCTCGCTAACATCTGCGAGAAATGCAATTAGTAGAGAATGGGCCATAACATTTTGTATTTTAGCATTAGTGAGGTTACTGAAATTTCAAAAGGAATAACAACAAAAAATCAGTTCCTTTATGAATGTTTCAGTATTTAAGTATAATATGTTTTGGCTTAACCTGCTTGGTTAAAAGGTAGCTTCCTGGACGTAGGATGAAGAGGTTTGGAACCCCAGTCAGAGAGAGGGATTAATTAACTAAGGACAGCTGCAAAGGTGGAGGTGGGATGAGTGCAAGAAAAATGTGAGAAGAGGTGTACTGTATGTAAGAGATGTATATCTAGTGAAAGTTGTTAATGACAGTACTTTCATTTAGAACAGCTGGGTGAAATTGTCTTTGTGTGTCATTATTCCTCTCGAACTTAAGGACTTTTAAAACCAACTTTTAAAACCATTTAAAACCAAAACAATATTTTTTACAGAAAATACAATGCAATTGTATTATACTTTACAGAGTAGTTATGTTATTTTTTAAACAATTAATCCTTCTTTAATTTGTGCAAGAACACCTATTTAAACATATTTTGTGATGTGATTAGATGAGAAAGGAAATAATCAATTATTTTATTACAAGAGTATCTTCTTCTCAGGAAACATTGCTCAGCTAAATTCCAACAATGACACCACCGCAAACGTGTCATGTGAACAGGTATGATATTAAATATTAACAACTTTAAATACACGAAGTTGAAATAAGTTTAGCAGTAGTATAGTTAGTACTATGTTTAAGTGGATTATCTTCCAGTACTTCCAGTAATATTTGTGAATTTAGTAATCCATTTGAAATTATAACATATCTGAATGTGATAAAATGACATGGTAATATTTAAGATTTGTTTTAGAAACAGTGAAAGATTTATAAAAATGTTGGTTTGATCTTTTTAATACGTATATTCTCCCCTTATGTTTTGTGTCTTGAAATAAAAAAAAAAAACATTATACTTAAAAATACAATTATAGAGGTGGGTAACGAAATACTGTAGATTATTAAATAGAAATATTTATAAAAATATTTATAAAATACCTTTTTTTTCAGGTTGAAGTTGCAGACATGTTGAATTATTCTGCCTTGAAATTCACTAATGGTAAAGCTAAGTTGGGGAGGAAGTCAAGATACATAGGCAATAAGGCAGTTTATGCTGAAGTCAGATATCAACAGTGGGACTGAATGTTATTATTTTTTCATTCAAAAGTTAATAATCATAATAGTAAAATGGAACTGGGCTGAATGAAGCTGAAATAGCTGATTCACAAGTGAGTACACTTCCAGTGCCATTGTGCTTGATACTGTAAATGAAGCAAAAGCTGATGTCGAGTTAGGTAATGGGCAGTTATGGAACATTTCAAGACAGTGATGCTCTTTTTTCTATGTTTTTTACCAGTAAATAACCTCTACTTGAGATGTACTATGATAGGAATGGTCAGGTTTTTTAAATGCATTGTCTTTGATAGATTTGTTTTCTGCTGTTAACTGGTGAATATTGTTAAAATGTGAAAGAAGAAAATATTGTGAACATTAATAATATTTAAATAGAACTGTACCTGAAACTATGCCTCTTAAAAACAGTACTGTTACAATTTGACTTAAAAAGCATAATGCATAGAATAATTATGTAGTTACATTGATATTGTTTTTCAACATTTTATAATGTGTATTTTGTTTTAGAAATATCTAATATTCTTTAAAATGCAATGTTCTTAATATAAATGTATCTTGAGGAGCAAAAGAAACAAATATTTTAGTGCTGAATTACTAGTTATTTTCTTTCAACTAAGCTAATCTGCACTTACCATCTTTATTTGCTTATCTTATCTTATCTATCTTATCAAAATGTAATATCTTATAATTATTGTAGATATTAGGAAAATACTTTAGCATGCTGACGCAGCTACCCACCTGAAATACTTTAGTATACCATCATTTCTAATAACTACGTACTGCATAGAATTCTGCTGCAGCTCCTGCAACATCTGGTCTTCTCAGTCTCATTCTTCAAACCTCTGCCCTGCAGCTGCCTCCAGGATTATCTATTCCCGAATCTTCACCCTCCTTCCCTTCATTCAGTCAGGAAAAGTGAAAAATAATAGAAAATGGAGCTACAGAGCCTTAAATATTTCTCTTTTATCTCCTACTGCTTCTGATACCGGCCCCTTGGTCATGATCCTGTCTGGTGTCCTACCAATTACTCAGCCAACAGGTGTCCTATGACTCTTCTGTCTTCACCGCCCTCTGGTGTTTGACACTTTTGGCAAAACTAAGATTGGAAGAAAGACAATAGAGATAGGCATTAAGGTAGTTTCTAAGTTAGATATCAACAATGGGAACTGTGTACTAGGTTTCAAGTTGGGTTTCCTATGTAAAAGATACAATGATTACAAACATCTTTCCTGCTTCTGGGTGCATTTCTACAATAGGGAGATAGGCTTCAATTTTTTGCATCTGGGTTTGCAGACAGTGATTTAACTGCAGGTTATATTGCATTTATTAAAAAAAAAAACAGCTTAATACTTAGTAGAAATCTATGGGTGTTCTGGGTGATTAGGATGTTAGGCCTCTGAAATGCCTTGTTTGTACATACTGTATTTACAGTAACTTGTAGAGTGTATGTTTTGTTGTGTGTATATATTGTTTGTCATTAATGAATATTTGTTTAACCATACGTGTCTGGACTGTTACCATTTTCACCAAAGCTGTGCCAGAGAACAAAGAATTTACATGCCTAAAATTATACCAACTGTGTGGGTACATTCTAGAGAAATCACTTATAAGTTGGGGGTTATGAAAAATTGTTTGACTTATTGACTAAACTGCTCAGTCTATTTCCTGATTTTCACCATCTTCATTACCCCATATTTGTAGCTATGTTAATAATTGTAACTTTGTGTATTTTATGGCTAAATGCTCATGACAATTCAATGGTCTGAATTCAATTGCTGGCCAATGTGAAAGTTGTCCTTTTAAAAAACTGTTGTAACAGAAAGAATAAGGTTCTGGATCCCGAGATGAAGTTAAACAGATGAGTTTATTGCATGCAAGGAACAATAAAGCCAAAGTCTTGTTTCCCGCAAGAAACAACAAAACTGAAATATTGTTCAATGTGCCGGTACAAACTTTTAGTTTATATAGTATTTTCTTTCCGCTTCTGACGTCACTCGGTCTTATGGTAAAGAGGGGGGTAATGGTATTTGGCCAGTTAAGAGACCCTGGCCAAATGGTCAATTTAAGATTACGTCCCCAGGGGGTTCTTAGCTCGCATCTGGAATCCTTATCAGTTAACCCCCTTTCCTGCCATAAAATCCAGCTTGTTGTTTAGAAGTCTAAACCTCATATAGAAAAGGATATAATTTAAACCCGTCTTCACATCTTTCTTCATTCCCCCCTTATAAAATATGGCATATGTCAGTGCAGCCTATTTTTTTACACAAAAAATGGCAGGGCAGATCTTTCCTTTCTAGGTGAACAGGCATGCATTGCCATGACATTGTGCGTTCCACGGTTATAGCAAGATGTGATACATGTTTTTGTGGAAGTGATGGTTACAATCATACATATAAGCAATACTATTCCTACAAATAAACACTGTAATAAAGTTCCACCCCAGGACCCAAACGCAGACCTCAGCCATGTGGAAATCTATCGTCAGGATCTTGGAATAGCAATATTGACCCAACTCTGATTATCATTTTTTTTTTTGCTGATACATATGCCAACACCTGGAATGTATTGATACCATATCCCCAGTAATGCTTTTCAGGCCTAACAAGCACACTGCTGGTCCACCTTAGGAAGCATCAGACACAGAAATGGTAATAACATCCTTCTTTCTGTTCACTTAATCTCTGGTGCCGTGGCTCGGTGCGATGCATGGGACCAGCGATCTCATCCTGTCACTCAGATAGCACAGTCAGTAGTTAGTGGCACTTGATATTCCCTCCCAGCAGGATTGCAACGTCTGGCAGAGTATCTCTTCTTCACCTACACCCACTCGCCAGGTATCCGGTCGTGTCTCCCCTCTACTGGAGGTTCCCAATCGTCAAGCACCTATTCACAAGCCCTGTGCACCGCTTCAGTTAACAAACCTACAATGCTCTAATAGAGAGTTAGTGAATTCAACAGTCCGTTAGCCAAACCTGGTCTACAGGGAGTTTCTTTGGCTGCCCGTAATGATCTCAAATGGGATCAGTCTCACAGTTCAGTTTGCTCCAGCCCACAAACTGCACAGGACCGCAGGTAGAGCATCTACCCACGGTGTTCCTTTGGTTGATATTTCCTTTGTTGGTCTTTTAGACTGTGGGTGATGGGGGTAATGTAACTTCCACCTCACCCCTAGTGAGGCGATAACAGCCTGGCACACCTTCCCAGTGTAGTATGCCCCTAGATCAGTATCCAAGGGGCAGGGCAGTCCGTACCATGGGATTATCTTTGTCATACACCTGGGTATCCACCAGCCCACACCGCATCATCATACAACCCCACAT